ACATACCGGTAATACTACATTACAATGGCCTTAAATTGTTATTTCATTGTAATAACGTTGCTCTTTTTGTTTAAATTTTTGTTTCAGTTGGAGTTGGAGAGATTGAACACTGCCACCGATGAAATCAATTCCATTGAACTGCAGCTCGATGTAAGTTGCATATTGAACCCCTTGTGTGGTGTGCTGTAACTTCCTTAGATATTACATGTATGTACTTGCTATGCTTTGTAGCATGGTACCAGTAGGTGTCCCACTGAGCACGTAGCAAAGTATTGTTGTGAAATTAAACGTGTATTGGTTATTGACCATTAGTTAATGATTATTAGTCATCTCTAATATTACCTGATTGTGCATGCTGTGATGGGGAGTGCGTTTATGCTACCTTTGCGCCATCAAGACCTGCATGGACAGTGCATTATACATGTACATCACTACTACCTGTGCGCGAGCCAGAATCTCATGTACACAGTGCGAACATGCTTGGTCGCACTAACGCCCTCATGTGATCGAGCGCGTAAAGTTGTTTTTGCCATGCTACATGCTGTATTTGTTCTTTATGTTTTTCCCTTTAAATGTTATGGTCGAATGTTTTGTTCTTTGTTCTTAGTTAAAAACAACCCAACATGTACAAATGTACATGTATAAATAGTCGCTCTAGATTACAGATACAGAAAGAGAGATTTTTTCTTTAGTTTTTGTTAAATTTACATGAGAAAGAAGAACACTGGGGATTTTTTTTCATTACACATTAACATTATCGTGTGTGTTATTAGTTTGGTGCCTTGCTGAAAATGGGCATTACACGCTTAAATAATATTGAGTTTTCTATTGATACATGTATATTTTGTGAAGATTCTTTCAAAGGCCTTTAATTCAAAAATGACCCTGGCAACGTGTGACTCAGGTTGGATGATTACATGTAGAGACCCCCAGATCAAGCACATTTGTTTCAGGAGGCTACAAGGGGCAGTTGGGCTGTGCTGCTTATCCAAATAAACAAACATTCGATCGATTATCGAATATTCAAATATTATTTTCTGAATTTAAAAATGTAAATGAACAATTCATGAAAAGGAATAGAAAATTTTCTTCTGTTTTAAATGAGAAAAATTGCACTCTGGAGGTTTGTTTCAAGCAGATTTAAATGAAAAGTGACAGCAATCTTATAGTAATTTAAAAAATATATTTATTAAACAATTTGAAAGGAACACAAATTCTCAAATTTTCTTAAATCTTGCTAAATTGTGGCTGGAGGTGCTCCTAGATGTTAGAAGCTATTATTGTGGTTAAAATTGTGTGCATTATTACATTTGATTTTGTATATGGTTCGTTCATCAACAATCTGCCAATGGGTACGACCAAATATTGGATCAAATTTAAGGTTGAATATCGGAATAGTTAATTAGTTGAATTGACTCAGCCCTAAAAGGCGGAACTGTTAATTTTTCTCTCAAAAATGACCAAGGTCAGTCTTCGTGATGTTTGATATGATTTGATAATCACCTATTTTTATGACTTTTGACTTAAATTTGATGCCTTCAGGAGGCACGGGCTTCGTTCCGACAGTCGCTGACTGAGTCCACGCAGAGTCTGAACGCCATCTCCAAGAAGCTGGGTAGCTGCATAGAGAAGGCCCGGCCCTACTATGAAGCCAGACAAAAAGCCAAGGAGGTGAGCTCAGAGAAGTGAAAGAGATCTTGAGTATTGCATTGTTGGGTACACTGGATTTGTCAGACGTACATGTAGTAGCAATAAAACACAAGATTCCCAAAGGTTTAGATTCCATAGTTTGGTTGGGATATACCTCTTCTTTTAGAAGCTGGATGTCAGGCAAGAAATGATGTTTTCTTATCTTTTTGTTGTTTTCTACTCTTCTTTATCCTTATCCTTTCATTTCTTAAATTAATTTTTTTTTTACGTTAATTTGTACTGTGCCTTTGATCATATTTAATGGACACAGCACATCATAAATTTTCAATTATTATATCATTCATTGTACATGTACATGAGTGCAAACAAGTTGACATCCTTTTGGTGTTAAAGTGACCTGAACTTTAAAAAAGGAGGGAGTCCTGAACTCTATGCAGAGGGTTTGCCCTTCTCTCCATTCCGTTTCAGCAGTCCACCAAGAATTTGTAGAAAGCTGCTATAACAATGAGATAATTGACTAACCCTGAATCTGTGAACACATCTTTAAAGGAACTTTCTTTGTTCTTCCAAAGTCTCCCACTGTGTAGAATGTCATTGGTTTTGCTTTCTTGCATGTAATTTCAAATAGTATCAGGTCTCATATAAAGTAATAGAAGCTGGCTTTGCTGTCCTCCCCCCACAAAACCCTGTAAACCAGTAAGAATTTAAAGGATCTAAGGGAATTCCATTTTAAGGTCCAGGTTTTTAAGTATCACTACCAGTTATAGACCCTATTTACATGGAGGCCATTTTTGATCTTATCCTCAAACCTGTTTTATATACATGTATTGCAAACTGTCAATTAGGATGGCACCAGACTGTTTTGTAATTCCATGCGTTCCAAGCCTCCCTGTCAGTAATTTTCGGAATCTTGGGAGGTACAATTCTATGTGTTCTATCGTGAATTAGAAATTATTCATCAGTGTAAACAGGTGCAAATTTGTCATGCAATTTCATGTTATTGCTTCAATTGTACTCTCAGCTTTCCAAAATGAAGAGTTAACCTCGCTTTCAAATTCAATAGGGCCGGCTCTGTGAATAAAGTCTATTGTAGATCAGTTCTGTTTGGTTGAAGAGGTGTTGTGGTTTGATTCCTTGAATGTCCAGTGCCAGCAAGAGACACAGAAGGCAGCAGTCAGGTTTGAGCGGGCCAACAGCATGCTGGCGGCCGCCAAGGAGATGGTGGACTTGGCTGAGCAGGGGCTGATCCAGGATGGCCGAAAATTTGATGCCAACTGGCAGGAGATGCTGAACCATGCCACCATGAAGGTAGGGTAAAATCTGTGCGGAGGCAGTTTGACTTCTCTGGCTGGTATGAGTCACCAGTGTCCTTGACAGGGAATGACTGAAAATACTTTCATTTCTCTCTGGATGAGATGGCAGTCCATCATACGCCTCTCCCTGGTTAATGCCAATACCCTTTTGTACTTGGTGGACATAGGCAAATTGGGGTAAAGTGTCTTGCCTAAGGATATGTGGCCAGAGTCTGGAATCAAACCTTTGACCTTCTGATCAGGAGTAACAAATCTTTACCACAAGGCCACACTACTTTTTAAAAGTGGACAGTGCAAGTCAGAGAAATTTGGTCTAAAGGCACTAGATTCAATTCTTTCAACTTTATTATTGAACAGTTTTTTAATGGGACTAGAGATTTGTCAATCTGCATATGCCACTGTCTTTTACAAGCCTGAAGTGAAGACAGAGTATGTTGCTTCTAGAAGGCTTGTTTAAGATACACTGTACAAACATACTGCAGCAAGATGTGCTAGAGTTGATACGTGCTTGGTGTTTGCAACTTCACAGTACCTATCCTTACTTTGATGTAACCAATTCACATCTGCTCATGCTGGGTTTGAGATGGGTTTTAGATGTAAGAGGAAGACTGAAGATAAGTACACGGGGAAGTCAGGAGATCTGCATTGTGCATTGGATTGTGTCTGCATGGCTTGGACTGAAAAAAATTGTTTGTTTGCACAAGAGTAAACTTTGAAAATATGGGCCCGTTTTGTTGTAAGGTTGGAGAAGCGGAACATGAGAAGAGACTGAGTGAGAAGGAACACATGACCACGGCCAGCGAGTTTCACAAAGTAGAGCAGCACCTGAAGCACTTGCAGAAAACATTGAAGCGGACAATCAACAAGTCAAGGTAAAAGACCATTTTCCTGACATAGGCTTCATCCGACTGATGTGGCAATGGCTTAATGTTACACAAGAGTCTATGGGAATTGGATGAAGCCACCAAGTTGTGGCTGAATATAACTTGAGTCTATGGGAATTGGATGAAGCCACCAAGTTGCGGCTAGCATAGGTTCATGTACTATTTCTAGCCACACTCAAGTAATTCCTTCAATGGTCAAATCTCATGGCACTGCTTAGTACGGATATTTGTTGAGCCCACGGAAAGCTTTGCTGGCAAAACAGGCCTACCAGCCAAACGACCCATGTAAGTTACATAAAGCTTGTGGCCAGTTGTCAGCTGATGTTTGTTTAGCGGGTAAATTTTCAAAATCAGCATGCACCTAGCTGATGAATCCTCAAAATGAGAACTTGGTAAGCCGAACTCTCTTTAAGTGTTATTAAATTTCTGCACAGTATTATGACAGAGAAATTTCTTGTTCTTTGTTGGTAGGCCCTACTTCGAGATGAAAAACAAATTCAACCAGCAGTTAGAGGTAAGCGCCAATTGTAATTGAAATTATTTTTTAAATTTTCCGTAAAATTCAGCCATGTTTCTGAGGGTTCCACAGAATAATTTGTGGTTCCAAAACTAAGTGTTGCTTCCAAATAAATTAACTTTCCTAATGTGAAAACAGTCACAAATCCCTTCCACTTTCTTGCTATATTTTATACATAGACTGACAGAAACCATCAGATCATACGTGATGCAAAGCACTGTGATTACATACATGTAGCTTAATTTAGTCTACAGGTTGACTGATGGTATGGCCTTGAAGGTTGGAGTAGCGTTCAAATGGTACTTTTTCCATTTTGTCGCAGGCCAAAAAAAAGAGAGTAGAAGAGCTTCAGGAGAGAGTGACGCAGGCCAAGGAGGCCTACTCCAATGCCCTCCACAATCTTGAGCAGATCAGCGACGAGATCCATGAGCACCGACGCTACCAGGCTGCCAAGCTGGGCGAGCGGGGAATGGGCGTAGGAGCAGAGTCTTCCCCAGCCCCACCCCCTGAGACACCTACTAGCCCGCCTGCGTTTTACCGCCACAGCTACCCCTTCGAACAGATCCCACTGGCCCATTGCCAGGAGACGCCGGGCTCCCCGAAAGGGTTCCTGCCAGAGTCCATCTGCCGCGATGATCTGTACGTGCGTGCCCCTAAGCTGCGCATGCTGCGCCGGCCGCTCAGCCTGCAAGAGTCAGACCTGTCACCGCCGGACCCACATGCTATCCTCGCAGCGTTTGAGTCGGTGGATAAACTGGATGAGATGTCTGACACAGCCAGCTGCTACTCAAATGACTTGTTGGATGACAGTGTCTCAGATGGAGAGAGTGCACTGTCAACGCCAGGACACTCTCGTCAGGCCAGCTTCAGTGGGAAGGACATGTTGGAGGCGTCAGTCATAGCCCAATCGTCGCAAGAAAAAGGTATGAATGAAACAGCTAATCACAATCATCCCCTTCAGGGGAGTGCCAGTAGCGAAGAGGTGTCAGAAGGGTCACAAATCAAGCAATCAACAAAGGAACAGGAAGATCCTGAATCATGTAACCATGCCAAAGAAGCACCAGAGAGGTCAGGAGTCACCCAGACAAGGCAGGAGTGTAGTTCAGAGGTCAGCTGCCAGACAGCAGATGGAGAAATTGACGAAGAAAACGGGTCATTGGTCTGAAGAAATTTTCTTGCTCTGTGAACATCCAAAATGGCGAAGTTGTGTATTTCTTTAGTTCTTTCATTTGAAACTTTACTAACTGAGGACATGATGTAGCGTGTGAAATGGACTGAATTGTCTTTGAATAAGCTTCTTTAAGAACAGGTGGGGTTTAGAATTTATTTTTTCAATGCAGTGAAAGAAATGTCACACTCGTGCTTGCATATCACAAAGTTTACTTACACTGGACAGATACTCCTAGTTTGTAAGATGCGCAGTTTCAAACTGTTGGGATACCGCAAACGTTCAAGGAGGCGAGATTGGTGAGGTCGAGTTTGTTCAAGATGGCATAAACTGTCACTGGCGCCCTGTATTGGGTGAGTGTGTGCGTTGAGGTCCGTTGCCCAGCAGATTTGTATGTTGGAATGTCTTCATTGTGAAATCTTTTTGTGAATTAGGCCGCTCATTACTCTTCTTTATAACTGACCTCTTTTTCAGTTTAAAAGAGGAAGCATTCTTGGAAAGTCATACTTACATGAGTTGGGTATGCACCTTTCCCTCATTTGCTTTTATTTTTTTTAGGGGTGGCTCAAAGGCTTCACATATTTTTGGCATAGTTCTGACATGGGCAAAGAAGTTTGAGTATATGTGTACATGTTTGTTACATTCCCTGCAGTTGAGAAATTGTCACAAAAAATTGTACCTCTTAGAACTGCCCGATTATACATACTCATAATCTTACCCTTCACAGTTGACCTCAGTTGTTTTGATACTAATTTATACTTCTGATTCCAAATATATTCACAGTGTTAATTTATACGCATGTTGCGATTTGGTCCTAACATTGTATTAGTTTATTTTTCATAATTTGATGCAAGATTTATAAGTAACCTTGGCAGTGGCCAGAACAGGGTGTTGTGAGCAGATTTCTGAATAGTCCAATCGTTGCCTTGAACTGCATGTATTTTCATTTAATAGTTGTAGTTTTGGGGAGGAGAGTACAGTGTCTTGGGTTCGGATCTCAATCCTTTCAGTTTATAGTTTGACCAATGAATGTATTTATCTTTGATTTCTTATGTGTGCTATAACTCTAGGTAAATTAAGTGCATGGGGGTCTTTACATGTAAGATCAATGGACATGTTGTACCTGCAAAAGTGATTTTTTAGGACACAAACATGAGATGAATATTCATGTGAAGTGTTGCTTAGATTGTGGGGAGGAGTTCTACAATTTGTTGGACGACTTAGGCATTACCTACGTGTACGTGTATTGTAAATTGCTGATAAATTGCTGTGTTTTGCAGGTTTTTCCTTGAAAATCTCAGCCAACTGTCATGATGTTATTTTCATTGTTGTCAGTATCTATGTGTAGGCCTGTGTTGGTGTTCATTTCACATTTTGCCTGCAGTGTGTTGGGGTTTTTGGTATTTTTTTGGGGGGTGTTTGTCTTTAATCACATGATGCTGGATGATATGTAAACACACACAACTTTCCTTATTTGCTCCATGCAGGACGTGTACATTCGATTAAGAATTCTTTTTACATTTCCCTGGTTGACGTATTAACGTGTCATGCTTGGGTGGGTCAAAGCACATTTGCAAGGTTGAAGAATTCACAGGTTAAAAAACCCGTCCCCAGCAGCTTTTTGGGGTTAGAAAATCTGACGTTAAATGGTTAAAGGGAGTCATAATCTTCACAAAATGGCTCCTAAAGAATTGACTCATAAAATGTAACGTGATTAACCAAGCCATTGATTAATCAAATAATCGTTGCATCCCCAGAAGGAATAAAGAGGTTCTGTCTTTTGCACACTGTTGCACCCGCATCTTGTCCATATCCAGAAAATATATTGATAACTAAATGTACATGTAATTGTGCGTCCAGTCCATGTACATACATTGTACACCTACATTTTACATTGTAACAGACGGTGCCCGTGTGTACCAACAGGGTATGTATAATGTGTACGTATAGTGTACATTCAGTAAAGAGGGAAAAAATTAATGTATTAAAATTAAAACTATTTTTGAAATCCTGTAGTAATAAATTGTATTGGTTTCTTGTACAGTTCTGTGAATTTATAACTCTATACAGTACGGATAGTAAAGTACATTTTCATTACATGTGAAATTTGTTAGTTACTAATTTTTGATTTTTGTGTACATGAGACATACTGTAATCAGATATGAATGAAATGATCTGGTAAATTTGACCTCGGACAACTGAATAAGTTACTATATAGTTGTTTATGTGTGTATAAAACTTGTAAATGCCATGCATGTATGTCTAAGTTAATCTTGAACAACTCTAAGGGCTGGAGTTATTTCATTTCAGGTTAAATATCTTCAAGCAATGTCAAAAGCATTCTTTAAACACAAGTCAGAGGCTCCTCCAAAGCTGTCTTGCATTCTGGAAGATGCCCTGATCAGACGCAATCTTTATAAGATCATACAAAATACACAGAGGGAAATGAAAGAAGACAGAAGGTTGTGAGTCTCGTCATGGAGCTATAGCTCCATGGTCTCATCAAAGTAAAAACAAGGGACACCGGTAGATTGGATCAGAGTTGGTTGGTCCATGCTCTTAGCAATATTGCCTTGCAAATGAGTTTTAAATGACAACTTATATTTAGTCACAGAATGACCTTGATGTTCAACGAGATACATGTGGTACATGTACACTGTAATTGTGTGGAAAAAAAAGAAAAAACACCTGTGATTTTAGAAGATAGTACAGGGTAATTTACTGATTGGGGATGAGAAATCCGTTCTTTGTGGTAAGAGGTAATGAGGCATAGTAAGAGGAGGAGTTTTTGTCCAAAGATTAATAGTCTTTGATTAAGCTAAGCCCATTATTCAACCCTTACTACCTGTTACATCATTAATCCCTCAAGGTAGATTTTTAAAAATTCAAGGTAGCAAATCAGCTGAGATGTCAATATATTGACTAGATTAGTTGATATTCCATGTGCATGTAGATTAGTTGACATATTACATGTACTTGTGCATGGTAATGTAGATTAATTGATACCACATGTACGGATGTTTAATAGTTGACGTACATGTATCACATGTACATGTGGATGTGGACGTGGACTACATGTAGTCGACATATCATGTCTGTTGGCACACATGTACATGTATATTAGTTGACATATATATGTAATGTACATGTAGATTAGTTGACATTACATGCCTGTCTGCATGTGGATAAGTTGCAATATCATGTCTGCCTCCAAGTACATGTACCGGTAGATCATTTGACATGTTACATGTACTAAACAAGTTCATACATGTACATCACGGTACATGTCTCTTGATCTTTCTTGGATTGTCTTTATATGTATGTATAAATAGACCCAAATGTGAAATATTGGTCGACAGTATTATTGGCAAATATTTGTGTACTGTATATGGTAATGAAAAGTTTGCAAATAATTTATCAATTTATGTTTGATTTTGCTGAACAGCTTGGTAAACAATTTGGACTCGGCTTCAACTGAAATACAGAGGTTGGTCTTTGCGAAAGCAGCTCAATTAACACACTGCCAATAGCACTGAGTTGTGCTTATTAAGCTGTGGCAATTGTTTAAATGGACAGAGATGAGCTGCAGCTGGTTAGAAAAGTTTTTTTTTTTTTTTTGTGAACTGAGGCAAATTTTCAGAAAAACTACCTTTGTTTTGACATGAAACGTGCTGGTGTGTGGCCGCACCCAACAAAGCGAATCCCCACTTGCCAAGGCAACATTCCAAAAGATATAAAAAAATCTTTCACAGTGTATGGTAAATTGAGAGGAACCTTTGACATTTTTCAGACATTTCACCATGATGCCGATTGGGTGACATATTAGAAAGAAGACCATTTGCTCTTTCAAATGTAAACAAAACGTAGACTCAAGTCATGGGATCCAGTAACATGTATCCGAACCTGCCGTTTATTTTTCATGGCTTTATTTTGCTGGTATGATTATTTTATTGGCCTTAATTTGTTCAAACATGAAGTGATTAACCAGAATTATGGGTCTAAAGAAGTTGGATGTCTTTCTTTAATGATTCGACAGGAAAATGACTGGGCTAAGGAGACTCTGAAGATGGCCCTTGATTCCTATCAAATTAGGTTTAAAGGTGTTGGTAACGGCAAGTTGGTAGTGACTGTAATATACCCACATTGGCCTACATGGACCATTCGTCATGCACCAATTGAGAAAGGCCATTTTGGTCATTACCATGTCAAAACTTGTCACTGTTTATTGTGACAGGTCATTTTCAAAAGTTTAGTGGCTTAGGGAGAATTTTTTCTTGTGTTGTACATTTCGAGGGGCAAGGGCTTGTTGAATATTAAAATACACGAGAAAACTTATGAATGTTTCGGCTTGAATTAACAAAGTTTGTTGGCGAGTTTTAAAAAATGGGATATTTTGAACCAGCTTTGAAAGAACTAGGGTATGTGTTTCAGTGGCCAAAGAGTTAATGTGTTGTGTTTTGTGTTGGTGATACACTTTCCTTTTTTTTGGAAAATATTTTGTTCAGCTATGATGTCTTATTTTGCTAGACGGACTGCGAACTTCAGAATAATGTTTTTGAGATAAAACTCTGTTGAAATGTAATTCAATACCATCAAATAAGTAAATGATCCATTTCCTTGTTTGTATTCAACTTTTTTCACCTTGTGTTGTTCAAATAAATATAGTTTAATAACAACTGAAAAGTTTACAGTGCCATCTCACTTACTTTATAGACTTACAAATTTATAAAGGAAATATCAAAGAGCCAGTTTGATGGTTCAAAAAAGAAAGGTCATGTTTTGGGAACAAACCATGTGTATGAGCCCAGGTAGGGCCACACTGATTGGGCAGATCCCACACATGCATGCAAGTGACCTTGGATGTAATTCAATTTGGGCATGCACTGTTGCAATGCTGAAATGGCTCATTCAGGAATTAACTTAAATTAATGCCATTACCCATTAGCGAATCCATATGTCTGAATGTAGCTGCGAACGGCACCCAAGGACTGGGCTGGTCTCCTTAAGTATCTCAAACTGATGGATCCTCCCACTTGTTGGGACACACCTTCTGGTTGGGGTTCTTAACTACAACCTACATGTACACTGTTGGTGTGGATACACCTGTTTCCTGAGATGTTGACCGCACCCTATTTGTTCGCCTGTAGACTATGCACTCTACTTGATAGGAATGCAGACCACACCCTGCATGTCAGTCATGAGCGCACCCACTTGCTTGAATGTGACCCATACATGTATATGTATCTATTTCTGTGGCTATGCTGTAATGTACGTGGACTCCATGCTCTTGGTATGGTAACAGACCACACCTCAAAAAAGAGGCTATGCCAAGGTGAAGTAGAGATCATACGCAATCATACTGATGCTATTCAATCACATACTTTGAGCAGGCTAGTTTCTTGCTGTATCAATGATATTTATGGCAGGTAGCTTTCGCTCATGGAAAGGGAGTACATGTATGACATCACATCTAGAGTACACTTCTAAATCATGTAGCATGTACGTATCTGATTACACGGTCAGCATGATCAATGTGTGGAAAAGTGAAGACATGCAAAAGAATGCCAAGAAAACTTTTCATAAATTTTGATGCATGCAGGGAACCTGCAAAGACAGGCAGGTTATACATGCAGTGTTCATGGATACTGATGACAGTCATACTGAAAAAATCAATGAAATGAGTTTGAATATTTCAGCCAGTTTCAGAAATGTTTGGGAACAGACCAAAAGATTCTCCCACAATAATCGGAGTCTTTTGGTTTGGGAACCAGCTTTAGCCATTGAGGTGTTCTATTTTTGAAATACTGGTGGGTCTGATTTGAATGATTCAATCATCGTAGAAGTGGCATAAGAAAAATCTTTGTTTAAAGATATCCATTAAACAGTAAAGAACATTTACAAAATTTATGATACATAACAGTGTTACAAAAATATACATCCGGTTAGTTCAAACAGAACTGTAACAATCCAGTTTGTCAAGATTTGCACAATGAATATAAAAGTAATAGCATCACTAACAGTTGCATTATTTGCTAGAATTTGAAGCTCATGCAGAACAACGGCAAACAAACATATAATTCTTTTAAATACTATTCCCAGATTTCTTAATAAGTCTTTCTTGTTTATATCTGAAGATAAAAGAACATCTGAAATCATAGTCCTATGCACACCATTCTGGATACTGTTTGAAAACAAAATAAACTTTACAAAAGTAATTAAAACACAGACAAGCGGTAATAGAATTCTGCATGGTGAAAAATATTTACCACAATGGTTTCCTGTGGGATAATTCACTCGGAGAGCAGGACAAACTGGTGATAAACCACTGGGCTTAAAAACCTAAGTGACTTTTCAAAGATACCCTACTAAGATCATGCGTTCTGGCCAATCATTGACATCACAGACATCACATCATGCCTCAGTTGGATCATTGTATGAGATGCTGTTATTATTGTGGAAAGCCGTCGACATAATGATTTGCATACTGAACAAGTTTACACCTTGCGTGCGTGTAAATGCATAATATTGCGTAGGATGCGGCATGCTTCTATCACTGCTCATCTGTGCACATGGACATGAGCAGTATCTCGTTAGTTCCTAAGTCTCAAAACTCCCGCCTCTTCCCTCCCCTTCTGCAAATCTTGTCGCTCCTGGCACTGACTCAGTGCTCAGAACCTCAGAACCTAAAACATAACAAAACAAAAATAAAACAAAGCTAGTGATGCTTGACAAGAAAGAGAGTTGTTCACTGGGATACATTCAGGATAAAAAACTATATACAGATAAGTAAACAATGGTGCATCCCGTGGAAGAGGAGAAGGGAAGTTACCCCCCTGGAAAAATGTTGCCATGTTTTTATATAGGAATGACTTCAGAAATGGTGCTATACCACATTTCTTCACGATAGAGAACAATTTTACGAATGAAAAAATTTTGACAGTTGTTTTCCGGAAAAAAAATATCCCAACACTGCTTCCCCTGACACAAAATTTGGATTCATCAATGCATACGACTACAAGCAGGGAGTCAGACAAAGGAGAACTTAAACCTTGCACGAAACTTTGCGCAGCGTTTCTCAACTTGTAGGAGCACATGTGAGAAATAATAATAAACAAGGTAATTTCCTGATCAAAGAAAAAGTTGCATGACTATTAAAAATGTACACCTGCAACGTGGTGTCTCAACCATGGGCTTAACAGTCAGAAGAAAACGTGGCGGTGGTGTCTACTGATCTTTGTTCTCTACTAACCTGATGTCACTCAGACACAAAATACTGTGTGAATAGCGGAACAACATACATGTAATATACCAGGAGCTAGTCACAAGAAGTGTGCACCGCATGGTATTGTGGCATTTCGCTGCAGCTTGAAATGTGGATACAGTCCAACTCTCCCTTCACTGGGCTAGGCTTAAATGCTCTGTGAACCCGACATCACACTGAACCAGTTTTGAAGACGTCCAGCACAGAAAAGCGCTGGGCACATCATTTGCTTAGCAAATATAGGTTATCAGCCAAAATGGCATGCATTGTGTATATCTTGTGACTGGTTTTTGCTTTTTATCAAACTAGAGTATTTAGCAGCCCTGTGAAACTGGACACCAGACCCAGTGGGACAGGCTTACCGGTGTTGAACTCAAACTTGAGGGCATCGTTGAAGCTCTTACTGTCATACATACTGTGGTAGGCAGACAGTCTGTCGGCCTGCACGCAGCCCTGGGGGAAACTGGCGATCTGCTCGGCCAGTGTGATTGCATGCTCCAGGGCTATGTGACAAGAAAAGGAAAGAGAAAACAAAAAGTACAAGAAAAAACTTGCGGCCGAGTGATGGCTTTATTTGGAGATGGGAAGAACCACTCACTAATAGACTTTTTCCCTGCCTGAGTAATTTGGCCGACAAAATGTCTCCACAGACCCACAGTTTGCGGAATCACTTTTCTTTTTGTACAACATTTCCTCTGCAACTGAAAGAAACTAGCTTTGTGAGGGTGTTCATCTGATAAACAATGTTTCTTTCTGTAGTTCAACGTTCATCACAAAACCATGGTACCTTAAAGAAGGGCTGTGTATGAAAGTTATGCCTATGGCTAGACACAACATGAGTGCCTATGGATAGCACTGGCTACAACTTCTCATTAATACCTCTGTAACTTCTGGCCACAGCCTTGTAATTTGGGTATAGCCACATCGTTCCTTTAAGACTGGAAGTCTAGTGCCAATAGTCGGTGCCTCCTCTCATACTCACCCTGTCCATCGGGCACCACTCTATTGACCAGCCCAAAGCTGAGGGCTTCCTCTGCACGGACCGGCCGTCCTGTCAGGATCATGTCTAATGCTCTGGACAGGCCAATCAGCCTGGGGAGACGAACTGTGCCACCATCGATCAGGGGAACACCTGGCAAAGGGGAATATTGACAATGGGAAATCAATTAATACATTTACAGTGATTTCTCCAAATTGAATACCCTATCAGATCATGCCTATGGGCTGTAGCTATGCTGGCCAATGCTAGTCAGAATTCTAAATCAGGCTGACTGATGCTTGGAGTGAAAGTGAAGCTCGCTGGGGAGCACACATTTTGCTGCTTACACAGCGAGTTCAAAATTTAGACTGAAATATAGTGTTTTCTCACTTTCCCCTTGTTTGTTGAAAACCCGTTTTTTTTTTTCAGTCAAACACGTCACCTGGTTGCAATTTATATTTATTTAATCTGGAAGGAGCTGCTGTGTAAGTAACAAAAATGTAACAAGGTGTAACAAGGAGTATAATTGTGTGTAGAAATTCTTATTTGTGTTGATATTGCCCCATAATGTGTTGCATGTACCAGCTAAGCCAACCAGCCTTACATCCAGGCTGATATTAAAAGCATTAGAGCTGCAACCCTGTCCTGCATGATGAGGGTTGAAACAGAGCTGTCTCCTCAACTCTTTGCAGGTTTAGAGTTTACTGCAATCACAGAAAAATGAACTGACAAACTTTGGACTAATTAAAACTACAATTCAAGGCATTTACCAAATCGTCGGCAGAATACGCCGAATGTGGAGCTCTTTTCAGCGACTCTCATGTCGCACATAAGGGCCAGCTCAAGACCCCCTGCCACCGCATAGCCGCTGACGGCTGCTATCACAGGCTTGGTAATCTGCATCTTGCTAGGACCCTGTTAGCAAACAAATCCAGATTCAATCGACCAATCACAGCAGTGATGGATGTTGGATGTGAGTGCAGAAAAGTATGACATGCGTGCTTGAATATGCCAAACAGAGTTGTGCAAAATGCAGTGTGGTATTGGAGAGATACATGTGTTAATGGGTGGGGTCAAATGGATTGGTTGAGGTCAACTGGATTGGTTGGGGTCAACTGGATTGGTTGAGGTCACCTGGATTGGTTGATTATTTACTGCCACTCCAGAAAGGAAAATTGAAAGTTGCTTGCAACTACTCAGCGACTGGAATGACTAAGAATATACAAGCCCACGCCTGTGATATATTAGACCATAGAGGGCACACTCACATAACACCACCCGTTGTTGACACCCAAGCATGCCAAAAGCATGGCGGAAGTTATGTCCTGTCATCCTGGCTCCATGTCAACTCAACAACCATTAGAATATACTCTGGCCTTACTTACATGTATGGCCACATTAAAAAGTCCATAAAACCCATTCTTAGTGCACACTGGGGCCGTAGTCTAGCCATTAGTCTAGCCGTTACAAGTCATCCAGTTTTGAGCCAAGTCACAGGCCACTAAATGAACAGTGACAAAGGTTCCTTTACAATTATTCACCTGTTACTTGTGATCGGGTTTGTAGGTGCAAGTGTGAAAGGACCAGTGACAGGACTTCTGATGGGTTTGACTAAATGTACATGTACTTCCCTGGCGTACAGAAGGTATTAAATTCTTAAAATTCAGGCACATCCTACGGGGGCTAATTACCATTGGACCAAATGCATCCAAGTTGAGTTCCTTCAGGTTGAACTGTGCATACGAGGACAGTTCCTTCAGGTCGAAACCGGCACAAAATGTTCCGCCTGGGAATTCAGTCCAAGAGAGAAGAAAGACCATGAGATTTTCTTTGAAAAACTAAAATGAGAATTGCTTGAACATGTTGAAGATAGTGAGACATGTTAACGCATTAAGTAACAGTGGCATACCCAACTTTGATCACCCAGTACAAGTGAACGTAAAAAATTCCATGAAATAATATGAGGAGAACTGGACAGTTACAAGTTTTGCAACTAACAGGTTTTTACAAGTTTTATGCTGTGGTTGGGTTGGCTAAATTGCTGTTTCATGTATTACTGACATCACTGCTTTCCACTAATTTTGCTTTCTCCCTTCCTCCTCGTTTCTTCTTTTAAACTGTTCTTTTTTTCATTTGACGTGAAACTCTTTCCCTTTAATATATCACGTCCAATACAATTTCATGATGACTATTGGTTGCCCGTGTTTCTTTGCTCTAAGAGTTCCTCCCGACCAAAGTTGGGCATATCCCGAGTAAGTCACGGATGCAGACAAAGTTGGGGCAATTGACAAAGTCAGGGTGTAACAAGCTCTACATGTACAGTAAATGGTGCAAAATTACTTTTGATGATGGTTGCAATGAAGTACCCATAAGTGATTATTATTAAAAATAACACTGCCTTAAGTTGACAAATACACAACACATATTGGTTCCCTTTTCCAAATGAACACCTTACCCACTCCATAGAAGACAGCAACATTCAACCCTTTATCTTTGTTGAAGTTTTCAAATGCAAGTCGCAGACACAACGCAGTCTCCCGGTTCACTGAATTGCGACTTTTTGGTCGGTTCAGTCCAATCAAATATATATTTCCCTGTTTCTCTGTGATGACAGTGTCTTCTGAAAATTAAACCAGACAGATTAAAAGGCGGTCATTAAAGCTGATTGAAAGTTGTACAAAAAATGACATGAAGTGGTAACAATTTGGAGATACTTCACAGCTCATTACACTGGACAAAATAACTGGACTGACTACTTCTTTTCCTATGCTAGGTCTGACAGCCACATGCCAACAGAGCACTTCTCATTTGCATAATATGAGAAAGAGACTGCTACAGAGGTTGGCTTCTGGTCTGGAAGCAAGCTCAACTTGTTACTAATACCAAAAATGGCAGCACTCTATTTTTAGATGTTCAATTACAATGTAATTTAGTATTCACCCAGGTCAAGTGAGAAGGACTGTAACTAGAACCTTCCAAAGGGCACATTGTGTATTTCAACTGAAATGTCTGAGCAGCTACAAAGACAGACAAACACAATCAAAGGGGTACACAGAAAACTCAATTAGCATATTTTCCACACAAGTTCACTGTTTGTCTCTGTGGGCAATATTTCTTTCCCATCAAAATAATTTGACAGCAAAGCTGATAAATACTGAAGCTCACGTGTGATCAGCTGATAGACATAATCAAATAATAGACAATCTACGGCTGCACTAACCTAAACTTAAAGTGGTGTATCTAGCTTTTGCTGTGGGGGGGGGAAAGAAGGCAAATTCCAAAACGAATGTAGCCTCGGGCTCATTCAACGTGATGTCGGGGTGGAGAAAATATCAAAACTCTTACTCACGGTCCTGACATCCTTACTTTTATTTTGTGATTTTTTTTCTCTGGGTTTAAGTGCCAATACATGTACAGTACATGTATTTAATAAATGCAAATACATGTACACTGATTACTTTCTCTTTTACTAAAAAAGTGAAGAAGAAAATAAATTGGGGGGGGGAAGTTGCCCTCTGCTGGATATGCCACTGCTACATGTGTAATGTTTCATAGTCTGAGAATGTGTAAAAGACTTGCCAAATCATGTCAAGAAAGGCGATACTAATGCCTCATGGCTTATACTTCATTACGTCCCAACTATCTGCTCCGACCAGAGCAAAAAAGGGCGTGTTTTTTTAGTACTCACTGCATAAGCGCGCGTTTATAATGAGATCAATGGTGCGTTGTATGGTCTTTGCGTACACGCAGAACGCATGCAAGAACCTGCATCGAAACTTTACGACCATCTGTCTTTCTTTTCCCGCTTGGGGGTGCACTTCAGCTCAGGGTGGATAGCGTCTGTCCCAATTGTAGCTGAGACAGTCCCAACTGTAGGGCTGCAGTTGGGCTCGTCCAACTATTGTTGACTAATTTCTGTAGAACACTTCTCAACCTTATCCAAGTTTATGCATCTCAAACTTGACACAATTTGTCTAAAATACATGTATGGCACTTCATTTATGACATGACATTATAAACAGGATTCATTACCGTTAGCACCCTGTTCCTATTTTAAGGGAACAAATTCTACTTTTTCAAAATAACTTATCTAGCAAGTTGTTGGTGATGTTCTCTTTCATATCAGAAAGAAAAGAGAACAGGGCTGTTAGTTTTTGAGGGAAATTTTGGGGTAAAACGGCAGCGTACATGACTGCCGCAAAGACAGCTGTGAACGACAAATAAGCGAATGTACATGTAGTCTGGTTCCTCGACATGGATGGAGATTGTTTTGGTGAATCCAAAATGCCTGGGTCAGGTAATTGGACGAAAAAACAAAATGGCGTGATTCGACTGAGGGGTTGTCTTTTGCCAAATTCAGGTTAGAAATTTGAAGTTTTCTTGCTTAATTATTACCAAAGTTTACCTAAACTAGGCCAATCAGGCTTGAGTAATGGTTCCTTAACGTCAAAATGTTTTAAATGTTAGTTACATGTAGTTTGAGAAAGTGGACTTTGTTTCCTGAATATTATAGGAACAAGGTGCTAATGAACCCCTTATAAAGAATATGACCTCTGTGCTGTAGTTGGGCCAGCACAACTATATTACTCTAGTTGGGACGGTCCAAACGGTAGTTGGAACTGATGCTGTAGTTGGGGCGTAACATACATGTACTTATTATAACTTAAGGCCTATTGATTAGTATTACTTTCGTTCAGCCACGTCATCGCAATCTTAGCTCTTGCGCAAAATGTATTTCATCGATGTAGAGTTGATCAGCAGTTGAGTGAAATGCACTGGTACCGTCACTACTACAACATTGTAACATGGAGGCTACGCCCACAATAAATTTGCCAAAGAGACATAGGCCTAGCACTAAGCAAAGCCTAGCCGAACAGCGCATATCCCGCATGTACGCGTAGCCTACACGTACATCATGATGTACACGTACAGTACGTAGGCCTACTTGATGTACAAATGTACCTGCGCCTGTCGATGTCGAAGACAGATTTTGTACTATTTTGTTTGCGGCACAAAGAACCCTGTTATTGCCTTTCTGCGCGAGAATATATCTGCTCAAAACACCAAGTCTCGTGACACTCGCCATAGGACGTTGTATCTGAAGTTCAAAAGCACGACAAAGATTTTGAGGTTCTCTTCTTTAGGTTGTCGACCGTCACTAGTCAATAAGACGCAAGTCTATGGTTGCGGCTGCCAAGCGGCTTATCCAGATAATCACCCGTGCTCTTTGCAGCCGCAGCCACAACTTTTGTAGACAAATTATAATGGTCGGGATGGGAAGGGAAGCCTTTTCGTCTAACTTATTGCAGATAGTTGAGGCCCCAGACTCGACCTTTGGACGAGACTACGTATCGACCATTCTATTCATATAAAGGGGTTCGTGTAGCTTTATGTACACCCATTTCAAATGAAAATGTACGCTTCTAAACTGCCAGAACCAGACAAAAAATTATTTATATCCGTATAGAGTAAAATTTAAGGATCCAATTTATAGATAAAAGATAACTATTTGTCGGTAATTGTTCCCCCACTTTGAAAACTTGTGGACCCACCCATCTGATAAATTAAAAAAAAAAGTTTTATAGCTAAGAATTAGAAAGAGAACAGTATTTTCCTTCCTCCATGGTACGACGAATAAGGAGCTGTCCTCCACATAGCGAATCGAATAGCTTATTTTGCATGTTGCTTTTTTATCATGGGGATAGTTTTCCTATCTTTTCCTACCTCTACGTCCAATCCAATGAGCCAAACGCGGCAGCATCAATGACTGTCAGTACTGGAATGATTCTTTTCTAGCATGTTCTGTGGGTAAAAGTGTACTTTCGAACGTATAGTTGATGTTCAAAAAGTGACCATGCTTGCCATTAGTAAGTCAATTTTCCCAGTATAAAAATTACAATTGGGAAAACTTAGGGTGAATGTTCCGGCTATAGTTCGATGCAAATTTCAGAATAACTTTAAATGCGCCTGAAAGTGACAATTCAGGTAAATATTCAACTACATGTTATTTAGTAAAGTATCTCTAAGTAGCACGCTGCACGCATGAGACGGCTACTGTTGTGTGCAGGGAGGGGAAATTTAATCTAAAATTTAAAAACTTGTAATTATACAAATCCACCATGTCGACTTCAAAAATGTTATCAGTATTTGGTGAGAGGACATCTGGTGACACGGTCAGACATCAGAATGGTAAGTATTTTCGGAATAATTAGCATTTAGGTGTGGGTCTAGGCCTGCATGGCCTGGGCAACGCGTGTTGTAAATCCTCATTCTCATTTATTGTGATGTACGCCCCAATGCACCTATTTCCGCCAGTATTACTGCAACTGATAATAATAAGAGCAGTAAAATTTGACGTTTGGTGATCAGTTAGATCATCCGTAAATTTGTAACAAGGAACATATGCCATGGGGCTTTGGAGTAATTATAGGACGGGGGGCTTTGGATATCCTTCTTTGGTTTTTGTGCACAGGCATGACAGGGAGTTGATGCCTAATATTATAACAAAATTGGTGATTGGAAATGATTTTGCTCTTTAAACTTTTCAGCCCCTGATTTATCACTCAACATTTGCATTATAATATGTGGCTGACTTATTGGAATACATGTAATACATCTTACAAAAAAAGGCATTACTGCTAAATGCAACATTTTTTCTCAGTTGTCAATTGGCCAAGATTTACTTTAATCCCCCACTAAAACATGCACAATAGACCTGTTCTCTGCACAAACACCTCCCAACATGGAAAAATTGATTTTGAGCAAGATATATCCATGAACTGTCTCCCCATAGACGCCTTTCAAAGGAAAATGAGAAGAGATGGATTGAAAAGTTGAAGAGTTATTAGCAATTTAAAATGTAATACTTGTATGAAATGTCTGTTTACATGAAGAAACAAGATTTTGTGGTACCATAATCAACCAGAACTACCATAAAGAAATTAAACACAAAAGGGCTTTTTCACAAGCTACAAACAAGCGAACCTCCACAACTCCTTGACCGATTAAGTTCATTTTGGTTTTTCCCCCTATTCTTATGAACTCTGTCATTTTTTGCTAAAGTGAAATAGTCAATACTATTTCAAAAAATTTCACTTTAACTCTTCTTTTTTTCTACACAGATTTTAATAATAATTAGAAATGTGAATATATTAAGGGATGCCTAGGTGGTAAGCAGAGTGGTTGGGATAGGGGGTATATTTTTAAAAGAGGGAGGGCTTTTGGAAGTCCTGCCCTGCATGGCACCTTCGTTTAGTCACACTAGATGATGATGCCTAATGGTGATGTCCAGTTAACAATCTGAGATTTTGAGAAGTCAAAAAAGGAGTGTCCTCTCTTCGATCTCTTTTGCTTCTCGCCCTTTGTCACCTAGGCATCCCTGCTTTATGATCTTTGCTCTTCTTTTATCACTGAGCCAGGTTCTAGCCAGGCTTGCAATAGCTGTCAGTCCCCCGATATGCAATCAATACACTTCTATTTTTCTAGTGAAAGAATTTGTAAAATAGAGGTTAAGAAACACGGCGGTCAGAGAATTGAACAATTTCTTCGAAAATCACAGATGAACAGTTACTAGAATGTCATACAAATGCACAATGTTTCACTGCACTGTTTCGTGTCTATTTTGTGAACATCAGTTTTGTGCTTTGATCCTGATCACCATTAGCCTTTCAGAATCAAACAGTTGAAGCTCTTTCATTGAACTGTCTCATTTTTCTTCCTTCCAAAAGCATGTAAAGCTTGGGCCCTAAAATTTAGCCTTGCCCTTTGGGAAGGTCATAAAAGGTAAAATCAAACAATTTCAACATTTTTGCCCTTTCCGACTCTACCCCCAAGAATTTGGTTTTGGATCCATCTTTGAATCTGTGCCAGTAGTACATTGTTCATATAATTGTTTTCTGCTCCTGCAGTTACTGCCGCACTGGCCGTGGCCAACATTGTCAAGAGTTCACTGGGGCCTGTTGGGCTGGACAAGATGTTGGTGGACGATGTCGGTGTGAGTATCAGTTACTCTCAAGATTGTCTTAAGGCCGGTTCAAACCTTCAGTGAGAGTGAATCGAATTTGACATTGTGAAACATTTGCAGGGAAGTTTGCTTATTTAAAAATTCCAGCAGTTGTGAATAATGCAGTATGAGCACTTGATTTGATTTCACAAGTTTGTATTGTTCCTTCCCACGTCAATTATGAACCT